CTAGTTGAAACTAGTTTATACTGAATGTCTTTGTTAAAACCCGTTTTGTCTAGTTGAAACTAGTTTATACTGAATGTCTTTGTTAAAACCCGTTTTGTCTAGTTGAAACTAGTTTATACTGAATGTCTTTGTTAATAAAAATGGAAATTTTTCAAATATATTTTTTTTTTAATTTTAAATACTCAAAACTAATTTTGCTATGGCCGTCCATATCGCTTGTTTTAGCCATCCATTCTTATAATCGGGATGCCTCTTGTCGTAGATACATGGATACTTTCGGATGTTTTCGATAAATCTCTCCGTATCTATTCTAGGTTTTTCGAAGTAGCCATGAGAGAATGTACCGTACTACATAAAAGCTCGTTATCTGCCAATTTTCACAGGAATAATTAAATTCGAAACTCGAGTAAAACGATTTAACAAGAAAATTCCAAATTGGAAATCGTGCTATTATGATTGACTAAAGGAAATTATATAAAGCAGTTAATTATATACAGTGTTTCAAAAAATCGAAGCACTCGAAGCCTGGCGTGCAATAGTAATCGAATTCTGCACGTGAAAAAAAAATATAGCGGAAAATAAGAAATTCGTTACAATTTCACAGCACGGGTACGTCATCGAAAACCAGTTCCAACCCTATTGTTGCATATCAGTACGTTAAAAATTACCCCCCCCCCGACGTTGATCGATTGGCTTTCATTACCAGGCCGAATTGACTATTTTTTTCGATTTATAACATTTGTGTTCTTCGATAACGTGCAGTAATGATGATCTAGAATATACTATAGTGGTTGTGACCATGGTTACAACAGTTGGTGGCAACAACGGTTGCTATCGACAAGTTAGAATATTCCAGCTCGTTGCCTTTACACAAATGCCACACCTCTTGACTAAAAAGAAAATGGCGGACGGTATTCGATTTTCTGACAAATTTTTAACTTTTTATTCAATAGATGCGACTCGTAATGTAGATTTGACTCTGCATTTATTTAAATACGTTTCGATTGCAATATGGCATAGAAATTCATAGTATAGTGCAGTAGCGCTGTGTAATCCTTAATGACCGGAGCTTAAGTATGTACTGTACGTTATGTAGGAAAGACGATATAACGAGGGGTATCTTAGAATTTCACACATTTAAAAAACCTTAAAGTTTATTTAGTTTAAAATGTATAGTTAATTAACACAAAAGAAATTAATACATTAAAAAACTTGTTTTCTTAGGTAGTGTGAAAAATTCTATCGCCAGTTACCCTACACTTTAAAATTAAATGTACGAGAGCTACCAAATGTGTACTTACTTTCGTGTTAAAATTGTTTGTCGAACAACAGAGATAGGTGGAAACCTTCATTCTCGGTCTTCGGCTCACACTAGCAAAAGAATTCCCGCGGTCGGAGGGACCCGAGATAAATTCCAAAGCGTATTATCCACGCCATACCAGCCAATTAGACACTGGCCTATCTGCTAAGACCAGAGTCGATAGATATATACAGTACTAATCCTCGCGCTGCCAAGTAACTCTAATACTACGATACTAGCGTAATAAATATTTCTGCCACTTCGAGCGCTTCGTTCGCGTCTAGGCGTAAGTTTGGCTGGAGCATAGGGAGAATCAGCTGTAAACATTCGAAATTCTTTTTAGAGAAGGGGGATTAAAAGTCAGTAGATTTAGTTCTTGGACTTTAAATATAGGCTGGTAGAGGAAAATGAGGAAATTCCAACTATTTAGACAACATATTTATACACACATAATAACTTCGAAGTAGAGGACGATGAGTTAATAAATTATTTAAAAAATAGTTTATCTTTATTCGGATTAAATTTCTATGGTTATTTAAATGTATCAGAGGATAAGCTATGGTTTTCCTAATTATATTGTAATAAAACAGTAAAATGCAAATTTATTTACTAATTTAACCATTACCTACGTATTGAACAGATATGTTATACTTAGAACATTATGTACAAAAGTTTCATTCTCAATATGTAGCAATATAACAGTTTTAATTAAACAGATCTATATTTAAAACCTGGATAAATTAAATCGAAAATATAACTATTTTTGATTTATCTATATCCTCATCTGTAATTTCAAATTATCAGTGTTATTAACGACTCTGACACATTAACTCATACTGGTCCTCGCGCTATGCTCTCAAGTAATCTAACGACTCAGCTAAGACGGATCTTCCATTTTCACTCTTTAGATGTACAGACGCATTGTACTGTACAATCGAGGAAATTTGTAAGGGAAACCTGCCCCTGTTTAGATGTTACTAACGCGAAGAAAACTCCGTCACCCACTACCGGTGTGGTGGTAATCTTATCCACTCGGCCAACGGTATTTAATTTATCTTAGTATTTCCAGTACGACGTAAATTAATTATTAGGTGTTTCGCCTAGGTCGACCGTTCGGTGTTTTTTGCAAATATCTGGAGATTTAGGCTAGGGAAAGCTTTTCGTAAATCCACAAAAAAAAAAAAAACCTGGATTTATGGGGTGGAGCCGAATCGTCCGAATAAGTCAGAGGATGCAAGCACCGCTTACAGATTTTTCAGGTGCAGGAAAGAGCGGAGACGATTATATTTATCGAGAAAATTCGGAAATTTCACGTAGGGAGGGATTCGTCCCCCGACAGCGGATAGACGACGATTTTCGCCAACCGTCGGAACGGAAAAGGCGCGACCGAAACGAACCGTTTAATTATCAAAAAATTAGTATTAATTCCTCGTTCCTTCTATCGACCGTTCCGAAAAGTCCAATCTTTTACCGTCTTTTCCGTAACTGCAAAGTCCAGCGGAAAGAGAAAGAAAAGGAGAGTTTGTCAAAAACATTAAAACTTTTATTCGACACTAACAACGAAATCTTTAAATTTTAACAGTAACTGCGGATGAACGATTCTAAGGACACCGCACGAGAAAGGTGATGGAAAAATCTGCGGGAACCAAACCTCCGACGGTCGTACGGGCGGAAAGAGCCCGGCCGCCGGACCCTTTTCCGGTCGGTCGGCGCCCGGGGGTCCCGCCACCTCCCCTGCCGGGAGAAGGCGGGAGTCGGGGACCGGCCGGAAGCCGAAGGTGTAAAGGAGAAACCCGCGGAAAGGTGTAAAACCCCGACGGCGGATTCTTCCGCCCGAAACCGGTTTCGGATCTGGCAGTAGCCGAGAGTGTTTATCACAGGCGTCCAGACTGGTCGGCGGCGCGTCGTTTCCGAAAACCGGTTTCATCTCCCACGGCTTCCGCCCAGACGCAAAGGCCGCTACTATAAAAACTCTGCTGCTTAACATCGTGTATATATATATATGTATATATATATAAGTGTATATATGTGTATATATATATATATTCACCTATCGGCGGGACGTTGGAAAACTGACGATTGCGGCTAAACGCGCGTGGCCACGAAACAACGTTTTTGTCAACGACGATAAATCTCTCGATCGATAACCTTTACAATAATAATAATAATAATAATAATTCTCTGAGCTAAACCTCGGGTTATATACATTTATACTGTATTGCCACGGCCAAAGGTTCATCCCGAGATTGGCGTCCGGCCGGGCCGCCCCGCCGCCAGGTGGCGCCGGGGTGGACCGTGGGCCGGAGGTTAACAGGCGGGGCGGAAAGAAGAGACACGGGCACCAGCACGACGAAGAGACCGAAGACTGAAGAGAAAAGAGTCGTCGACGGCGGAACTAGATCTACCACATCGAGATTTTTGGGCCGTCCTAAACCTTACTTTGCCCGCCGCGGCGCAAAAGAGGCGCGGAAGACCACTAAACGGCCGCGGCCGGCTCGGAAAATACCACTACGGGGAGCGTCCGCCGGGCGGCGCTGGCGGAACGGACCGACAGACGGCGCGGCGGAAGGGGAACCGCCGCCTTCCCGGGGGAGGAGTGGGGAAAACTGGGACCGTCGCCTCCGTCCGCCGCGTGGGGTCGGACGGGAGGATTCACGAGTAGATGGTCATCACTTCTCGTCCGCTGCCGCGCACCATCAGCACTCGGTCCAGGCCTTCGGTCAACACCTCGATGAACTCCATGTCTGGGCGGTGTCAAGGAAAACGCTCTTCTCCCCTCTGCGGCTGCCTTCCCGCATTGGGAAGCTGCCAGGGCCCTTTTTTAACGCTACCGCCATGGGCGAAACGTCTAGCCTAATAAACGATGTTCATTCGACTAAACGGCGCCCGAGACGGTAGAAAATAGTGGAAACGAGAGGATTCCGTTAGTTTCGATGGAATTCCGATCTTTTGGGATTCTGCCGCGGATCTGTCCGTTGTGGAGCGCGGTAAACGTCCCCACCCGGACGTCCAACCAGAAATCTGCACGGAAGGATACAATTTTCTTCGGTCTTGGCCGCCTTGGGTAAGCCGGGAAGATTGAGTACCACCAACTGAGCCTCGTGCGACTTGCTGACCATCACCTCGTTCAGTTTGACGGCGGCGTGCATGCGACGGACGTTGGCTTCGTCTCTGAAAGGACATTTGGTGAGTTGAGAGAGGAGAAAATGGGCCGGCAATTTAATTAGAGGAAGAAGAGCACTTACGGTTGAAGTTTGAGTAACTCGTCGAAAGCTCGGTTGGTTTCAGGCTTGTCCTTCAGGACGCCATCCACCTTCTCTGCCTTCTCTGGGGAACCATTGGCTTCGGGACCAACGGAGGCCTGTCTGTCGGGCGAGGGTTGCTTGGAAGAGGCGGCCGATCCCTCCTTCCGGGGACTGGGATTCTTCTCCGCTCCTTCCTCGGCCGCCACTTCGATCAGTTCGCAGTCCTTCTCTTCTTCTGGCACTTCGTTGAATCGCACTTTGGTGGCCGAACCGCCCACCGCTGAGTCCGCGATCGTCTGTTTGGACAAAGAAAAACTCTTTACTCCCCCTTCTTCTGTGGTCACCGACCCAAAGAACGAGTCTTTTTAAAATAAAATAATTGCCGAAATAAAATATTGGCGTAACAGGTCATTCCTTAATAAGTAAGGGACCTTACGCTCCTTAGTTTTTTGACAGCCTTAGAAAATTTCCAACTTTATTAAGGTGGTAAATGTAAGCTCTTTCTCTATAAATGATTTAGAATTACCATGGTAAGTGTTCCTCTTCGATTAAGACGAATCTGTTTCAACATCTGCGATCTCTGCTCCATCATCAAAGTTCTTTCGTACGTGTACGCCGAAATATCTGTATCGATCTACCAGGAAGAAAATTATATTATTCAGAATATCTTTAGCAAATTCCCATTAAATTTGTAAGATTTATTACAATGAATTTTCTAATATGTCTTTCTTAAAATTGAGTGAATACAATGTTTAATTTGCCACAGATTTTAGGCAATTCTGGCCAGCTCTGTGTGGACGTCAAGATTCGATTTACTATGATTTATCCTTCTGCTTCTATTTTATGTTTTAAATTTCAATATGTAACCCATTCAGACACCGTTATTTCCTAGGAAATAACGGTGTCTGACAGGTTACATATTGAAATTCGACTTACTTATGAAATCTGCTAAATGCTGCAGCGGAGTGTATATTTTCTGTAGTAAGGAATTTATTTTTATTAAATGAAAACAAATAAAGATTAACAGATACCATTTCTACAATTTCCACGTCAGCTTCAATTCTCAGATGATACAAGAAAGTTGTTAGATCCTTTTTCATTTGAATACTATTATCTTCCAATTCTACAGTTCTGGTTAAGAATAATATTCACACTAAAATAAATATAAATAGCTAAAATAATGGCAATTAGAATTATAGAGTAATTTCTAATACATATTTTGAGTAGGTTCGTTGGGGAATGATAACACCCAAGATTCGATGGCACTAGACGTAAGACGGGCACCTCTCTTACTTGTTAGATTTATGTCAAGCCTGAATATTTTAAGCCGAAGATGTCCCGAGACAGGAATGTAAACGTTTCTTTCTGACATAAAATTTGGTTACCCGAAATGAGCGTGTGTAATATATTTGTGTAACATTATAGCTTAGAAACTTGGAAAATTATTTTGTCTATAGTTTATTAGTATAAAATAATCTCGAATTTAATGATTTGTTATAAAATTTCCAGGCTAAGTTCTTCATATGAAATGCTAATAGAAATTGTAATGTTTGAGATGGTACCTTCTAAACTTCAGATCAAAAAGTGTCATGCCTTGGGTAGCTCCAGAGTCACAGGAAAATTTTATGCTGGATATATGCCATTGCATATTATTTGCACGAAATTACTATAAATAAGGGTTTGAATTAATCAGAAAAACTATTAAAGATTAAAAAGATATAAGTCATATTAATAATTTAATTCAAAACTAAATGTAAAAATAAAAAATTTTTAGTAAAATTTATTATTGAAGGATACGAGCAACAGTAAATATGCGTAATTTACAATTTTTCCAAGTCTTATGTTGTTTAAGTAAGAATGGAATTAGCATGAGTAATCCACCATCGTGAACGATCCACCATGCATCAATAGTTCCAGACATCCTCTCGTTATTATCGGGAAACTGATTAATTCCTTTTGGCACTAAGAGAGCATTTTTACTAGCAATAACTGCCCTTATGGTATCTGTAAAGTTAATTTTAAGACGTTTAAGTCTTTGATATAAAACTAAACATTTACAACAATCACAATTTCTTTTTTAAAATTCTTAAAATTTATTTGAAAAATAGGCATTTCATAGTTTGTTAATTTAAAAATGTTCTATCTGGAAATATTACATTCTTTTACAATGTAATACTTCCAGATGATTTTCAAACCCATATTCAAAAACAAACAGCAAATATATAAAAATAATTCAAAATGAAATACTGATATTGATCATTACTTCTTGAACTTAAGATGATATTTGCCTTATTTATAAATAAATAATTATTATTTAAATTTCTTGCTAACATAAAACTTTCAAATAAATTTAATAAGGTAATAATTCAAACTTAGGAAACAATTCAATAATCCGTAAAATAAGAATTTAATTTATTTTTTTTCCTTCTATTATTAAATTTAGTAGTTTTAAAATAAATTCAACCTTATCCTCATTTACTTTATTCTGTTTTTCATCTAATTCTTCTAATATCTACAAACCCAAGTCTTTAGCTTGAATTTAAACATTTATTAATAACTACTTAGTACAGTAGATCCCCCTATAAAACCGTTTCCTATAGTTATGATTCCTATAAAAATTGTGGCATTATCCGTAAACAACGGTAAAAATAACTCCTATAATACGTAAAACGTCATCGGGCAGCCGAACTACTTACCCGCCGTCCGTAGCGCCACGCTACGGAGAGATTTCTATCGTCTGGACAGTATTATATAAATTATATATAAATTAGGTACTGTACATATAATTATATATTAATTATATATAAATTAGGTACTGTATATATAATTATATATTAACTTAATTTATTGTAACTTTATTATAATTAAATATATATTTTTCGCCGTCTAGCGTCACGCTACGGCGAGTTAGGCGACCTATCGTCTGTTTAGTACTGTAATTTTATACATTTCTTGTGAAAGAAACATTTCTTATTTAACGGCCATAAAAATTATTTATATTAATGATGTCTCCAAAGGTCAACGAAGTTTTCGCAGAAAAATAATATCAGAAATCGCGGCCGCAATTTGATGCGCTGTTCCGCGACGAAACCAAGCTTTAGCAACGAGCGTAGTCAAAGGGTACACACTCGGTAAGTAATCCTACAATTTTTTGTTTATAACGTAGTTTATACGGATTATTTTAAAAAAAATATACGTATTTTGGAAATGTTGAGTCGAATTAGTCTAGAATCGATTAATTTTATGAAAGAAAACCTTTCAAACAGCCGTAGTCCGTAAACTATGATTCCTACAAAATTGATTCATAAAGAACGGAACGTATCTACCGTCTTATAGGGGGATCTACTGTATTTAACTTGAAATACTAGTCACAATTATCTGTTTGTGTTCTTTGCAAGCATTTGAATTATGACTCAAACTACTATTTGTTTGGTGTTTTCTCCTCTGACTTGTTTATCTTTCTAAATTTTCAATTTATTACAGCTTTACATTTTTAGTAATGCCTTATAACAGCATTTTTCAACCTGTGGACCACGACTATGGGAGAGGTGGTGCGCAGGCAGACTTAATTCAGAACAGATTCACTTTTAATAGTTTGCTTCCAATTATAATTAATTAGTTTCCATACTGCATGTAATTAAAAGTTGCTTTTAGATTCATTATGTTATAAATGGCACAGTCTATCCCAAATGTTGATAATACCCATAGGATTAATTACATAATTCAGTGGTCTGTAGAATTTTTCAGATATTTTACTGGTCTTGGACTTTAAAATGATGAGAAACACTGCCTTATACAAAGCCTAACAGTTTAATGTATTGAAAAAGGGTTATTATTTGTGGCAAATTAATAATTAACTCAGATAATTTAAATACATTTTTATCTATCAGTTCAAAGTCTCAGAAAAGTAATCATCTTATAAATTCAACTTTGTAGCTAAATAGTGCCTTAGACTGAAAGTATTTGTAATTAATATTAATTAAAGTAGGTTTCTAACTTACATTCTTTTAAAGTTAAAAATATACTTAGATACAACATTATGTATTGCTTTTGTGTAATTTTAAGATCACTTTGCAGAAGAACCTTTTGACAAAAAATATGATGTTTATCCAATTTCTTCAATAAAACAAATTATTATACATGCTGACATTATATATATATATATAAGACATGGATTTATAGTAGGTGTAAAAAGTGAACAAATGGTAAACGAGAGGAATGGTACTCCTTCAATTGCTTGGCAATAACTAGTTGTGGAACATGTCGGCAATTCACTAAAATTTATGCATGGTAAACTTATTTAGCTTGTTTAATGTAGAAATTAATATAATAAAAATTCAAATGAACACTACACCACACACTGTTTTCAATAGTTAATATACTAACTTTACATCACTGATCAAATGGTGGAGCATTAGCAACAGGGCTGTGCAAAGGTACTGTACAAGTAATCCAAACAGTCACTTAGGATGTCAGGAAAAAAAAAACAGAAAATATATAAAGTTTTAGCTGGTTTTTTTCTGTGGTTTTAAACTGTTTAAAACACATGCTTTAAATAACCCTGTTTCAGATGCTTTAATGTTTTAAAAAATGCTTGAAACACTTCAAACATTTTTTAAAACAGTATATATATACTGTTATGTGTTTTTATATATATATATTTGGCATTCTTTGTTTGTTAAACTGTAAAAGACCACTGTAGAAAAACCTCCAAAATTTGTATACTTATTACATAAGACTTTGAAATAAATCCAATAAAATTTTTGTTTGCATCATCTTTCAACTCTATAACTATTTATAAAAAAATCAATTGATATTCTTACAATTTCTGATAGGTTAACTAAGATATCTGTAGAAATTTTTGAATTTCATTGCATTTATTGAGACTATCATATTAAAAAATTTGAATGTAACTAAACTAGTAAATTTTCAAAGTAATCAACTGAACTTTGAAATTTTCATAATAAAGCCTAATACAATGTTTTGATGAAATTTAACTATAAATATTTTCATTATATATTAAATTGATTTTTTTTATGTTTTATAAATGTAATGTAAAAATTAAAATTTAATCAAATACCTAAAAGAACCTTCCAAGATTTTTCATCAGCTGTTTGTCTCCATCCATATGGCCAACCAATAATAACTGTATTATGTTTCAAACCACCAAGACCAGCAGTTTGAACTCTAGATAAATGAGAAAAAAACAAATAATGTATGAAGTCTCTAACTAAATGCTCATAGTTTATATATTATTAAAGAATTTTTAAATTATAGATATAATTTAATTTCTTATAAATAATTTTTTCATTTATATTTTCTCTTGAATTGTAACAGGGGTGCCTGTATATTGGGACACGTGTCCCCTTAGTTGTTGGATTGCCCTATCCTTAATCTCTAATGGATTAAGGAAAGGCCAATCCAACAACAAAGGGAGCTCTAAGGTTTCATTTTATTTCTAAATTAGTTACTTATTTTTATCACAGAAAACTTTCGCACTGATGACAAAATTAAAACAAAATTATTTGTTATTAACCAAAAATTTGTTCTAGCAGGTAGAGGTACCACTGTATTTGATTAACACAATTTTGATATATGTGATAGCATTGAGGGATTAATTAACTGCATTAATCAAGGGATACCTGTGTATGTATGTATATACAAATATCACAAGGTATCCCTTATATATATCTCAGGTATCCGCTTGACATCTTATCAATTTAAAAGTACCTTCCCACCAAAGAGGCCACACAAAACTTAATACTTTTCTTTTCAGATCAATGAAATATTTGCCAGAAGAAGAAAATACAACTGGGGATGCTTAATGACAGACACATGCCCAAATAAATAACCATGTTTGGTGCCTACTGTCAGGAAACACACAAGCTGATGTATTGGCATGTAAGTAAGTGTTTGTTTTGTTTTGAATTTTCAATTAGTTTACACTTTTTGTATGTTTAGCAGAATGGAACACTTTTGACCTCTCATTTCCACAGCACCAACTATCATCAATTATGTACAGTGGGTGATCAGTTAATGAACAGATCGGATAACAAACACTTTCACGAAAGATTTTTATGATCAGATAACGAACATATGTTCGGATAATGAACACTTCACTGAACAAACACAAGAAGAAGCGACGTAAATAACGAATACCGATTGGTCTTCCTTTGTCTCAGGCAACAATTCGAAACTTTTCGGAGTGCGGGAGACGTCGACAACGACATTCTACCCAGTATATACTGATCGGATAGTATTCCCCCAAACTTTGAAACTCTCCCTTGTATTTCTTTTTTATTTCTATATACAGTAGACCCCCCTATAACACTGTAGATAATTCCGTGTTATATGAATTCCATGTTGTACGACTCACTTAGATTTTACAAATACGTGAGCTGATCACAGCCCAGCACACGTATTTGTAAAATCTAAGTGACTCGTATAACATGGAATTCATATAACACGGAATTATCTACAGTGTTATAGAGGGGTCTACTGGTATTTTATATTTCTTTTAAGTTTTCTTCTGAAAATGCGGATTTATGTCGATATCTGCTATTAAAGATCTTTTGAAGAAGTGGAAGGATGTCAGAACAACGGTCTTAAAATGGCATTCAAACCAGGTTGAGGCTAATAGGCCTATAGATCTCTACAATTACAATGCTATTAATTACTTCTGAAAAATCGTGAAGAAAACAGAAAAGCAATCGACATTGTGGGGGTTAAAGAATCTGTCCAAACAGAAAAAAAAACACGACTAATAAAAATGCAAGACTGCGTATATATGTATTTTTATTATTACATGTGAATAAACGTAGTAAGAAAGTATATATTTTTAAATTTTTTTTTGGGGGTCTCCAGAACGAATTAATCAAATTCCCATAGAAACCTATGGTAAATTGATAATCAGTTAACGAACAATTCGGATAGCGAACAAAGTCTTGGAATGGATTATGTTCGTTAACCGATCACCCACTGTAATTTGTGAACAGGTGCACAAAACTTTGCCAATTGGTTGTGGCTGTTGAGATCAAGGTTACCTGCCTCATTGCTTGCAATCTCGTGAATGTAACTGCAAGAGCATCATCTCTGTATCTGATTGATAATTGGCCAATTGTATAGCCACTGTGTGCAATGATTTACATTTGCATTGGCTACTGGTAACTGTATTGGGACTGATGCAGCATTACATCTTAATGGCAGATGACTGAGTCCAATCAAATTGAAGTTTCTCAATGAGCATTTTTATTGGTTCTACGGAATAAATTGACCCAATATGTGATGATCAGAGATATCGTGCAATTTTATGAGAAAGATGAATGGAAATCATGAGTGACATCATAATGCATATCTCAGCAGCATTAGACAACATACTGCTCAGCAAAACAATCACTCTTGTATGTTGCACAAGTGCAAGCACACTGCATGCAATTATTTGTAAATCCTGGTTATATGTAGAAGAACAGAATTGAAGGCTTTTTTGATGTTTTTCATTGTATTTTGTTGTATTCTTTTAGGTGGAGAACAAGAACAGACAAGTTCTTTGGCAGCACATGCTTAGATACATTGCTCCAGGAACAACTATAGTTTCCAACAGTGTATCCCAATATCAAGGCTATATGGCTTTAAAACTTTCTTTCAAGAAACCCAAACCACAGTCAATGAGCCAAGGGAGGTAAGGAACAGCTGCAATGTGTTAATAGAATCAAATAAAGGAACATTACTGAAATTCTAATTATTTCTGTGCAGATTTGTTGACATTGATGATCCTGAAGCCCATTCTCAAAAATCCAGAATCAAATTTAATGGCTAAAAGTCCATGATGATGATATGAATGGGCAGGAGTCTGCAAGTTAACAGAAGGTGCTTCAGACAGGAATCACATTCTATGTCTACAGAATGTGATTCCTGTCTGAAGCAATAACACCATCAGTATAATTCCAGCATTTTCTCGAGAACATCACAGCTATCTAATTAGGCTCCAGTCAAAAGTGCCTCCAATTCTTCAAGACTGGAATGCTTACTGACTATCTGTCAATCAACAAGTTATCCTATTTCAATGTTATCATGCATGAGGATGATGATGAGGAACAGCAGGGAGAGATGACCACGTAGTGAGTGCAGTTTGTGTGTGTAGTACATGTAACCAATGTAAACCTGTAAATGTAAAATATAGATTAAATGATTTTTCAAGCAATATCAAGCACCTTTGTCATCGATCCCCAGAACCTAGTAGAAAGTTGGGCCCAATGACTTCACCCTATTCTTTACTGAACATCCAGAAGAGGCCAATTGTTGCTGGGTAGCCAGAAGACATTGTGAAAGACATGGATGAAGAAAGACATTGTCAAAAGTAAGTGTACAGTATTTTTTTTAGCCTCATGTATTTTAAATGTCGATGTTCCTACATCAGCAGTTAAAATACATAAGGCATGGTAGAGATAGCTGTAAAGTGTGACACTGGCAAATCTATTTATATGGTAGTAATAGCTGAACTCGAATCAGTGAAACTTAGCTTAAAGAAGGACGGACAGACAGATGAATACCAGTGCAAATTTATAAATCTACAATTTTTAAAAATTGCAGTCCAAACATAACTAAAACTTAACAATGCAGTAAAAAACTTTCATTTATTCTTCCTTCGAATATGTTAAGTGTTCTGTTCGATCTGGCAATGAGACAACAAGGTGTCAAACTGTTCAACTGGAGTTAAATAGGTTAACTCACTGAACTTCTATAGCAATAATTTGAAATCAAACTTATCAAAAACAATATTAACAAGAGTGGATCATGATGTCAATAAGACAAAAGAAAAACTTTCTTGTAATTTTTTTATTTTTCGTTTTAAATAGTAGAATTCAATATTATTTATTTTTTAATACTATTTTTTTTATTTTATTTTTTTAACTGTTCTGGAATTACAATATTCTTGCATCATTTTTTTTAAAACCAATATCATCAAATTTAATGGTATCTAAAAAACTGATTGAAATTGAAAACATCACTAAATGATGGCCTAAATAAAATCGGGCTATAATTCCGCTAATTTTAATAATTAATAATAAGTAATTTGCTACTAGAGTTAGACGTCATCTCTTAACTGAATTAATAATTATAATTTTAGTAATTTATTAAATAATTTAGAACCATCTGGAAGAAAAGAACTGACCCATGGCAGGTCTTCAACATGCAGCCTCTGCCTGCCTGGGGGTTGAAGCTCCACCCCGAGTCAGTTCTTTTCTTCCAGATGGTTCTAAATTATTTAATAAATTACTAAAATTATAATTATTAATTTAGTTAAGACATGACATCTAACTCTAGTAGCAAATTACTTAGTATTAATTATTAAAATTAGCGGAATTACGTTTGGTGACGTTTCTATATACATACTGGGCTTCACAATGAAATCGAAGACTTTAGTTTTTTTTTTTTTTTTGTTTGTAGATATTTATTTTAGTTTCCTGAATTCATTCTATAATAGAGAGGTTGTGGCCAACGTTTTCATTGTGAAAACATGAATGTCCGACATTCATGTTTTCAGGATGAAAATGTCAGCTGCAACCTCCCTAATGTAATCTGAATCAACTGATTCACTTTCAATAGTGAACTAGCATATTGATGCTTTAATTTTTTGATATTGCAAGTAAAACTCTCTTTTCAATTTGTGTGCAAGATATCATAATTGTTACAATTAGTTATTTATTATTTATTATTGAATATGTTGTAAAATAATAATAATAAAACAACATACATGTGGCATAATCCTTCAGGTACATTATTTGCAACTAATACATCAGCAAATCCTTTCACTTTTTCTTCTACCATCACATTTTTCAGAGTCTGAAAGTAATTGAAACAATGATGTGGATAGTTCATATCTTAATATATAATAAAGAAAAACATTGTTAAAATGGAGTATGAAATTTACATAAATATTTATGTTTTTGACTATACACAAATAGATATTTTTTCATATAAAAACCTTGAATATGAAATTTTACTAGTACAGCTGTCCCTTGATAGTCCGACGCACCTCCCGTCAAGGTACCCATCCCCGTTACTTGTCTGCTTGCACAGAAGCATGTCGCGACATAAAATCTCCCCACCCAATTCTTACACAATGACACACATTTTGTGTGTTTTCCGTGACAGTTTTGTTTGAACACTTGGAGTAGGGAATATTGTAGGCTATTGCTAGCAAAACAATGCCAAATATGTAATCACTTTCGTTAATCCGGACACTTTTGGTAATCTGACACCCCTTTGGTCCCATACCTGTCAGATTATCAAGGGACAGCTGTATTATATATTGTATACATTATTAAAACATTTAGATATCTGATCGTTTTGATAAACTTTTGATATACTGCACTACAATAACAATAGCAATCTTATCTCCAATCTGTTAGCATTAACTGGATTTCTGAATCCAATTAATTATGAACTATTATTTATTGTGACATCCTCACAATGCTGGGCTGCAATTTTTAACCATCTTTTAATTAAAAACAACCACATGACTTCTGGTTGAGACCAGAAGTTTGTTCAGGGTTTCCAGCCCCTAAGTTTTCTGTATCTGGTCTCAATTTTCATCTAACTATTCTCGAGATTAACAAAGGGCAGACAAACAGTGGAAATGTATAGGTCTGCAATTTGAGGGCTGCAGTTTATTAAATACAGTTTAGTATTATAGAATTTATTGATTTATTTATTTTCAAATATAATCAGTAAAGTCCTTGTGGTCTAGAGGTTACTGCCTTCAAAACATAACAATAAAAAATCTCCTATATGAAAACATTTAGACTATACATAAGTAAGAAAAATTAAAAAATGTATTGTTTTTTTATATTTTTAATTTGTTCATGCTTATTCAATATAATAGATATCACATTTCAAAATTTTTTGGAATGCTTACTAAGTAGTAGTCAGTTTTAGTAGTCTTGCCCCTATATGTCATATTTTTCCTGTTATAATGGAGTTGTGCCGATCATCTATCTAACTCTATTTGGGGAAAAATTTTTGAATTGAAATAACTTGACTTCAGGACCAAAATGGGAATTTGTATATAATTAATCAGGGCCTCCTGCCCCTACGCTTTCTAGACAAGATATAGAAATATCTGGTCTTGGTTTTCATCTAACTCTGTTCTCAAGATTAAGGAATGACAAACAGACAGATGGATGCCAGTGGGAATTTATAAATCTACAATTTCTACTGACCCAGCTCAGTTATATATAACAGAGGGAAGGTATGGCGATTGGTCAAAGAATAATCTCTCCCAAGATTTTTACATTTTTGGACTCGGGACCTTAAAACATCAAAAAATGCAAAAAAATATTATTTACTATATGTATGGATGTTAGTGAGTGAGTGACGGTGTCTGTGTGGAGCATGATTTTGTTCACCCTCTTTGAAGGCTTAATAACGCCCGTGCTTTTTGTTAAAAATTTCTGAAATTTTGCAGAGAAGTTTGTTTATTAGGGGGGTTGATGCTATTAAATTTTCGTACTTATAGATCGAGAGAGTGGAGAGAGAAAGGGGGGTCATGTGCCATATCTTGAATAGAGTCGGACTTAATAATGATTTTACTCTTTATTAGCATTTACAATTTGTTTTTTTTTATAAAACTCATTTTTACTCTAAAAATTAAGCTTTTTGCCATTTTATAAGAATTAAAAATATAAAAAGCTTTTCTTAATAAAATATAACAAATTACATCACATGGAGTTTTAAAATGTTGCTGGATTTTTGAAAATTGCAGCCCAATAACAATATTGATTTAGAGATTACTCTTTCTTTATGATAATTTTTATCAAAGAACTATGACCCCATTGTAAATAATGTTTTCAATTGTTAATATGTTCTTCTTGTCCTTAATTACTTATATTATCCTTGTGTCCACTGGACATTCTTGTGAACTAGGACTAGTTATACTGAGAGAAGAGAAATGTACCATTTCCAATTAAGGTACATTTATTGTAATGTAATCTTGTATGCCACTACAATCAAGCATTTCAGGCAGATGTTCAATTGTAGTGGCATACAAGATTATGTTACAATAAATATATCTTAATTGGAAATGGTGTGGTTCTCTTCTCTCAGTATAACAAGTCCTAGTTCACAAGAATGTTCAGTGGACACAAGCATAATATTAATATAACGCTTTCAATTATTGAATAATGTAGAAACCTATAACTCAGTTTTCATATACATTTGTGTTCCAAGAAAATCAAATGCTTATATTAATGAAATGCTGTGTTAAATTTAGCATTTAATGAAAAACATACAGAATTATTATATTTACTCAAATGTAAGAGAGACATTTTTCAGGTTTTAGTATCTCTGAAAACAGAACGTGTAATTCGATGTAACACAATGATTCCAAAACTTTTCTGAGTTATCACAACCTTAGTTCTATAAAGTTATACCCATTGCCCCCAACTTATTCTCCCTTGTACGAAAGGCTTGAAAATATTCTTAGAAAAACTTTTCTATGAAACTTACACTTGTGGAGAACAATGTATGTTAAGGACATATCTGAAAATCATTAAATGCAATGTTTCTTCTTACCCATTTTAAAAGAGAAAAAGGAAAGGTGGTCAGTGACCCAACTTTTGCCTATGGTCACTATTCAGTATGTTGCCTCCAGCACCCCCTGCCACCCATTTGCTTCTTTTTGTCCCTACTAGATTTACTCACTGTCCACAGGGGGCATCAGCACTCACTTTGGGAACCACTGATTTTAATACATCATGATTATTGACCTCGAGTGCCATGTGTCTTATTTCTCTGTCACTAGTCATTGTGTCATTTTAATGATTTTATTAAATCTATATTTGTAATATAAAATATATAACCCTTTCATTGGCAGGTTTTATTTTTGTCTAGTAATGCCTAGCAGTAGGTCTTGCCTGGCAGGTTAATCATTTCAAGGCTATCGAGTACAAGAAATTCTCGGGAGGGCTGGTATTGCTAAAAATAGCAAGCACGAAAAATTCTTGTCTGAAGGATTAAGAGGTCAATTGAACTAAGTCTTGTTGGTCTATTATATTGTAATAATGTCATAAGTGTTTGTATGAAAATCCCAGTAAAAGTTGTGCAGTAGTCTTTCAAAAAAAATGTTGCATTTTCAACGTTTCAAATGCATTGAGAATGATTACATGTAGGTATCAAATTCAGAATCAATTCAGAAGAGCCTAATTTGGAAAGTGACGACTTTTCCAACTTTGATACCACAGAAGACAATAATGTATAACTTATTTTACTTGCAATAAATTTATCAGGTTGCATAATTAAAAAAAAAAAAATTCATTGGTTAGCATGTAGAAATTAAAGTGCATCTTAGATTTGATGGTGTCTTACATTCGAGTAAATAAGGCAAAATTTTAAAAATGAAAAAGTGCCAGTAGAATTTGTAAAATAAGTATATGATGATAATTTTTTTCAGGAAATGCATTAATATCTAATTGATGATTTTAATTAATTAATTGATTTAAACTGTTATATTTACAACTGAGTTTTATTTTAAAAATCTTATTATAAATGCATTTCTGATATATTGTTTTACTTAAGCACTTGTCTTCCTATTTTTATAGTTTTGATGTACAGTAAGACCCCACTTAGCACTGCCTCACTTAACGCTGATTCGATATAATGAGGTCTGCTCAAAGCCTAAAGTAAAGCTCAAAATTTACGTTGATTTAAATTATTGTGGCATTTCATTGATTTGTATATAATACAATTATTTACGAACACAAACCAATCAGCAAAAGGTGGCAAAAGGTGTACTTTTTTAAATCTATGTTTGATGCAATTTTGGAAAAAATATATCATTATGGATGTCATAGGAAATATCAACTTTGCTTGGCAAGAATTAACTGATAAATGCACAAACGAAGTATGGAAGAAGTTATGTCTGAAGGTATTCAAGAATTCTCAATGAGAAAAGCCTATCGCTGTATCATTAGATTGACCAAACTCATCCTAATTGATATAGCAGGATTAGGAGATATAGACGAGCAGGATATTGAGGAGTTACAGAGGTTTATGGTGAGAGCCTTACCAACAACAACCTTCAAGAACTGGCAGAACACTGAATTCATGTGCAATTGGAAAATAGAGATTCTGAAAACAAAGAACCCAGAGAATTTATTTATAGATTTCCTTAGTAAAAGTGTGGTAAGATAACTGAAATCATTGATCAAATTGTAGCAAATGATCCAGATTTTGAAAGGAGTGCAAAAGCAAAACAAGGCATTTTGGATGTGATCTTCTGCTTCTGACATTTGCTCAAGGAAAGAAAAAAGTGACAAATGAAACTTTACGACTTTATTGCAAAAGAACAAGAATTTCAGAAAAGTCAGTACCTTCATCACAAAAAATGAACTTTACATTTCTGTGTGCCTGTTTATGTGTTATTTAACATGTATTATTATACAAATTAACTTAAAAATAATAAATTTTACTTTAATTTTAAGTTAATTTTTGGTCGTGTGTCCCCTATCCCTATTTACTCTGTTAAAATGACCATCAGTTAACGAACAATTCGGATAGCGAACAAAGTCTTNTTGGCCCACTTGAATTTAAGAAATACTTTGCGTAAAGCATCGGTGAAGTCTTCGGGTCGACTTAAGTTGTATCCTCTGAGAGAAATCCAAAACTGTGGATCTTTAATGTATTTCAAGTATAGTCTCAGCCACGATTCCGTGAAATTACTCCCGGCCATATGAGGAGAATTCTCCAGTTCTGTCGTTAATTTCTCTAGATTATTCTGAATGTTTGGATCGGAGTAATCCAGTGACGAGGTAACAATTATCTGGACTCTATCTCGATATTTCGAA